CTCCTCTGCTAGAGTCTCAGTGCTCTGACTAGAGACTGAAGCCAGCTGGCTCTTGGTGGGAGCATTCTGCCCTCTGCTGGATCGAGCTAGAAAGAAAATGAGTCTGCATTGCCTTACAAAGAATTAATTAAAGCTGGAAGCATTTAGGTTTGCCTGAAAATAAATATTTGCTTGCATGCTGATGAGGGTTTTAATTAAGCGGGAGATGCATTCCTTCTGGGATGTCTTCATCGTCAGAGGATTTCCAGGTATCCGAGACAAACATCTCTGTGCATCAAGTACATTCCCTCTGCATAATAAATACTCCATGCCACCATTTCCAAAGAAAGGTAAACAATCCAAACTGAATCTTGAATAATTTTTCAAGTAGTCACACAGACTTGTGATAAGACAGGGACAAGCCCAGGAAAACCTGGGTTGACAGACTAATTCTCCCAGGTGCTAAAGTTCTCTTGGGCTCAGCCTGTCTGGACTAAGAACGAGGTGGAGCTACATTAAAATGCTGCTGTAGGGCCACCACACAAAGCACCTTAGCATTCCCCATGCTCAAGACAAGTGTGACATTTAATTGTAGCACACCTATGATCCACAGTTCACTATGTGCTCCATGTTAACAATATCGTGGAACTAGTGGTATCCTGAAATTCAGTTTGGGTAAAACAGAGACTCGGGCACGAATGTAAGTCTAGAGAACAAAATGACTCTAAACATGTAGAAAGAAAGCAGAATGCCCTAAAAGTAACTTTTGGAGAAGGGTGAAGAGACAGAAAGCCTTGCTACTTGGGGTTGATCAGCCATCATCTACCATGTTGTTCTCTACAATTTATACACACATCTCAACATTCTCAACTTTAGTAAAAATCAGCAAAATGAATTCAAAGAATCATCTTTTACAGCAACCAGTTTCTTTCAAGGCTGTGCTTTTCCCTTCCTTCTATATCCCTCTTGGGCTTTCTCTCTGCTCTCCTTTTTACTTTAAACCCAGAAAGAAGTGTTTTGAGCAGGCACTCCCAGTGCCGTGGGGCACTTAGCTGGTCCTCACTTTCCACTACCAACTCCACAGGTATGTTTTCTCCAGTGCTGTTGCTAAAATGACATCAGATAGCCCTGCTCTTGAGATGATGGCCACCTTAGGGGTGGTGAGCAATTGACTGTGATGATGATATTAATGTAGTCATTCTTTGGTAATAGCAACAGGTCTGTTTGTAACTTAATTTGTTTAGTTGAGTTTGTTGTCTTCATTAACATCTCTGTTTAATAAAAAGCTGTCTTAAAATCCCATCTGAAAGTCTAGCTGAAGAGTAAGTACAATTGACTATCTTGCCAGCCTCAGCAAGTGTTATATTGATGTCTTCTAGAAGTCCAAGGTCAATAAAATTTTGAGGGTAGTTGCTGAAGACACACAGAGATGATCTCAACACGTGAAATATTGAGCCTCCAGTTAGGTATCTGTCTATGTAAATAAATATGTGCTAGGCTGATGATAAGGGAATTAGGAAGGAAATAGCAGAAGGTGTCTTCTGACTTTTTCTTCCGAATTCAATCTTTTACTAATTCTAATGTATATATGTATACATATAGTTATGCAGAACATACATTTATGAGGTGTAGTGTAGGATTTTAATATATCTTTTAATGTTTAATGACCTGTTTGCAATAACTGACATGTTCATCTGCTCATTTACTATTTCTCTGGGTTGGTAACATTCCAAATCTTTTCCATTAAGTATTTTGAATGATGCAATCAGACAATCAGATGTCATTAACCAGTTTCCTTGCTGTGCTATATAATATTAGAAATTACTTCCCTTGTACAACTGAACCCCTATACCTGTTCACCTCCTGCCTCTCCTAGGCTTACGCCAATTTCTGGGCTCTAGTACCCACTGATACTTTTCTTTCTCCTTTCAGATCAGTCTGAGCTTTGGCAAATAAGCGATAATAATAATATACTTATCATCTGTCTCTGGCTTATTTCCCTTAATACAATGTTTCCTAGTTTCATCATGCTTTTGCAAGTGGCAGAGCTTTGTTCTTTGTTCATCTGTTGGTGGCAACCGTGGCTGATTCCATTTCTTGGCTCCTTGGTATGCTGATTTCATTTCCTTATTTTCTTTGGATATATACCCAGTAGTGCGATTGCTGGGTCATGCAAGAGTTCTATTTCTGGCTTTTCTGAGGAAGTTCCGTAACATTTTCCACAATAGCTGTACAAATTTACATTCCCACTAATAGTGCTGAAGAGTTCCCCTCTCTGCTCTTCCTGACCAGCATTTGTTTTCAAAGTCGTTTTGGTATGTCAACTGAACTTCAGGAATGATGGTTTCTATGTCAACAAAGTGTGTGTGTGTGTGTGTGTGTGTGTGTGTGAGAGAGAGAGAGAGAGAGAGAGATCTTTAATGACAGATCAAATTTTGTTTTCATGGTATATTATCTAGTCATGCAAGTACTGATCGAGGAGAAGAAAGCACTTGTAAATGGTATTACACTATCTTTTGAGTTTTAAAGTACATCTAAGTTTCAATTGGAGACCTGTAGCATCCTCTTTGAGTGCTTATAACTGAGCTGTGCTGTTGACTCCCTGAATGCAAGAGAATCCTAGCCTTGTGTCAATCAGTAGAAGACAGCAGGGTATATTCCTTTTTATTAACTAGAAAGTCATGTATTCTAAAAAGGAACCACCAGCCCCCCTTTATCTGATCCATATACTCTATGAGCAGTTCATTGTCTGAGGGAGATTAGAAACGATTTCATTCATTCATATGGCTTGCCATTTTACGACATGAAAGACCTAGGAAAGTCCCGAGGGAGGCTTCGTTTCACCAGTCATGTCGGCTGGTCTGTTTCAACAGAAATATAGATTATTTATATAAACATCTCAGCCTAGCAACAGCGACTTTAGTTCTTCTTGTCTTCTATAGCAATCCTACAAGCATTGAAAGAGACAGACAAAGATCATCCATACTAAACCTTTGTTTATGGCTTCTTGAAAGGAAGCACTCTAAATTTATATTTCTTAATTTCTACAGTTGTAACGAGATGTACAGACAATTTAAATACTTTTCTCTTGAACTTGCTCAGCACTCAGCACGTTAAGCACATTCTAAAGAATGGAGCACACTGCCTTAAATGACTTGACCAAAATAAAATGGAAGTAAGTATAATAAGTAGTTGTATCTTGGGACCCATGCAGACAAGCCAAAGAACCAGGAGCTATGTGAACCCCCCACTCCAGGAGCCCATTTCCCCCCAGGGCCCTGCACAGAGTAAGTGCTCAGTAAATATTTAGAAATAAGGAAACAACATTGTGCCCTTTTAGCGATTGGCTTGCAGTTGTTATCTTAAGGGTGTATTCAAGTAACAGGTACTTCATGACTACTTAGCCTTATGGGTTAATGTTTACAAAGTGCTTTGAACTTCTTGGGAAAAAAAAAAAAGAATGTTTTTGTTGGCACTGTATCATACTTGCCAAGGTACATGAATCCCTCCCATTTCCATTCTCCAGCTGCCAGGGCTGTGCCCTCCCTCTGTGCAAGGCTGGGCTCTCCCATTAACCCAGTCTTTCCTGCCTCTGCTAGCCTGCTCTGGCACAGGTAGGTACACAGGGACAGGTGGGAATGGAACAAGCCTTCGACAAATTTCTTTAAGGATTCTGGGGAAAGTGTGGAGAAGTGAAAATAGGGTCCTTATTAATGCTCCTTAGAGGGTTTGGTGTTAAGAGGGGTGTAGAAACCTGGTTAGTCAGGGGAGAAGCTACTGGATGCACACTCTTCAGTAAAGGCAGCATCAAGCTTCGTCCAGATAGGCTGAGGGTATAGAGATTTAGAGACAGCATACTCGGAAGTTGCCTCTGTAGATTTTAAGTGGATTATACACATACCTGAACTAATGTCTGGCTTTTTGTTCTGTTAGAAAGTTCTTATAGATAGATTTCCTTTATATGAGCAAGACTTATATCTGCTATAATTTCTTTCCTTGTAGTTTTTCTTCTTCATGTTTCATGATTGCAAACAGCAGTGTTCAATCAGCATATGGTTAGCTAGAGTGGTCATGGTTTCTAACCTGTTTGTTACCGTCACTAAACACACTATCTTAAGGTTTAGGAATGTGACAATTAAAAAGGTGAAATATTGTTTGAAGAACAAAGCTATGGTTTCTGTGGAGAATGGATGGCCATCAGAGTAAATTCAAACAAAAGATGTTTTTAGTTTGGAGGTTGTGACATATTAACTTTTAACTAATAACACACAATAAAGATTCCAAGGCAATACAGTTGCAGGCTGCAGATAAATAGAATGGCTTCCCACTGAAGAGCTTGCTTTAAAGGCAGCAACAACGCCTATTTTCTGCACTGAAGCAACTTGTTTTCTAACGCAGCCCGTGAGGTTCTCTGTGTGGGTGGAAATTTTCCATAATACATATTTATACCATAGCTGCTGTCCATGTGGCACATTTGCTCTCTCAAAACTGTTTCTAGGGACTGGAAATGAATGTCATGTGGGCAAAAATTAACATGGTATTCTGTTAAAGCAACAGACCACAAAAAAAAAAAAAAAAAAAAAAAAAAAAAAAAGATGCCTGCTCTGCATCAAAGAAAAACTCAGGTAAGTCTGGTTTTAACATGCCACAGGGTTAACTAGAAGTAGGCCTTTAGATTTTAAAACAAAAAAAATAGACAAACTTCCTTCTAGTTAGGGTGCATTCATTGTATACCTGAAAACAAAAGAAGTGGAGTGAAATTTGTAGTTACAGAATAATCGGCAGTTTTAGCACTCTGAAAGCTCTCAGTCCACATGAAAGAAAGCCGTAGGGAAAACATCTGTTTGGGAGGGACCCCAGATAAGAAATGCTTTCTCTCTCTTCTTGATTCAATAGAGAATGTATTTCTCATTTGGCCAGTGTTGGGGATTCACATAAGTGACATTGAACTTTATCCTTTAAGTAAATGGAGGTGTGTAGAGGAAGCCAGGGCCACACTGTTTCCTTTTCTCTGTTAAGTGTCTTGTGGCATTGCAGGGGGCGGTGAACTCCTGTGAATGGAGTAGATGAGGCCTCATTTGCTCTGGCTTGGAGAATAGGAGATGTTCTCACTGACATTTGCCCACTACAGTCCTATGGTAAGTTTGAGTGGGTAAAGTGGGGATTGATTCTCATCATGCGTTACTCTACTTGATTTAAAGCAGAGGAGAAATTGGGCACACTTTAATGAAGTGTTGTATATTAAGATAAATAAGTTATTGCTGGGATTTTTTTCATTTGTGTGCTTAGTGAGTAAGGTGACTCACTCTTTGGGGCTCCTTTTCTAAATATTTTGGACTTCTCCGCTTTGCTTGAAGATCTGTTTATATATATGAACATATATACACATATGTATATATATAAAATAGCATATGGTCAGTGGATTTGCTGGTGGTTATATCTTGTATTATGAGAAATGCTGAGCTTCTGACATTTAGTTAAATTTTTATTATGGTCAGAAACTTTTAATGAGTGTGAGAGTGCTTTGTCACTACAAGAAAGCCAAAGACAAGAGAACTGGTAAGGAGTCAAATTAAAACTGATTGCACAGTAGAACTCAAACATGAGGCCAAGGCCAAGGCTAGTGGGAATTTGCTCTCTGTGCATATGTGCACATGTACATATAGGTTTGTGCGTGTTTGTGCATGTGTGTGCTTGTGTGTGTGCATGTGTGTGTGCATTCAAGTGTGTGTGTACATGCAAGCGTGTGTGTGCATGCGTGTGTGTTTGTGTGTGTATGTGTGTGTGTGTGTGTGTGTGTGTGTATATATATGCATGTGTGTGTGTATGTGTGTTTGGGGAAACTTGACATCAGCTCTTCTTGTCTTTCCACCCCTGTATCATCTGCAGAGAACAGACAAACATTAATTGACACACTATCACGTTGTGTGGCTGCTACAAAAACAAGTCAGTGAATTCCCTGTTTTTAGATGTTCTCTGTGAGACAGGTCTGACTGAGGTACTTGAAGAGCATCCAGGAACAGCTGACAGTCAAATTGCCAGCAAAACTTGTTTACTTTAAGCCAGACACAAAGTATTCTTTTAAGCCTTGTTGTATCTGAGTTACACTTTAGGGTTAGACCACCAGGGGTGGGGCCACTGTGTCCAGAGAGCCTTTGTTAAGGACTCTTTGATATCTTAGAAGAAAGGCATAGCCCAGTGGATCTCAAATTGGTGCATGTAGGCCCCAGGAGAGTGTGTATCTCAGCCCTAGAACTTCTGAGGCTGCAGATCTGAGGTGGAGGATATATGCCTCTGAGAATCTTCATTTTGTAATGGATATAGTCATTGCTTCTTTTTCTTTGCAATGTCTGTATGCATGCATGCATGTGTCTGAATGTGTTTACATATATAGAAACATGTGGAGACCAGAGGTTGATGTGAAGATGTCTTTAGCAACCCTTCACCATTTTATTATTTCTGAGACAGGGTCTCTCACTGACCCTGGAACTTTTTACTTTAAATTAGACTGCTTGGCCAATGAATGGCTCCTAGGGATCTGTCTGTCTCTGTCCTCCAGAATGAAGGCTACAAGCCTGTATTGCCATGCCTAGCTTTTATGTTGGTATTGGGATCAGAACTCAGGTCCTCTTACTTGCACAATGTGTCAATGTGTACTGTACACACTGAGCTGTCTCCCTAGGCTCCTTTGTTTTCTTCTTTCCTTCCTTCCTTCCTTCCTTCCTTCCTTCCTTCCTTCCTTCCTTCCTTTCTTCCTTCCTTCCTTTCTTTCTTCCTTTCTCTCTCTCTCTCTCTCTTTCTTTCTTTCTTTCTTTCTTTCTTTCTTTCTTTCTTTCTTTCTTTCTTTCTTTCTTTCAAGATAGATTCTGATTCTATGTTCCAGGCTGGGATGCCACTACTGATCCTTATGCTTCTGCTCCCAGGAAACTGGGAATGAACCACCAGACACTCAGTTAGACAGTCTTGCTCTTTGACAGAAAATTCTGCCAGTTATCTAGCCATAAAACTTTTATTAACTGTTGGAAAAACAATGTCAGGTGTGCCCTGTATGGCAGGAAAATGAACAGATAGGTCATCAACAACTAGGGGACTGGGTCTTAAGTCATGAATGTCAAAGGCCAATGTTTATGGGTAGATTCTATACTGGACCATAGACAAAGATAGACCTGGGGATGTGGTGCAGTGCTAGCATGTTAGCATACTTGAAGTCCTGGGTTAAATCTATACCACAGCGAGCCTTAATGGAGACATATTTCTTTACCACCACATTTTTCCCCTTCTAAAACTAGTAGTAAGCAACCAAGATGGCACTGGTACTTGCAATTATAATTGTTCCTGCAATGGTATTTCAGTCAATAGTTCAGTCAATTTTTCTTGGGAAGATCATTGTGAAAGCCACTGAAGAGAACAAAATGAAGTACACCCAATTCTGCGATTTGTTCACACCTACTAGTCACCATATATGGAGGTGATGCATAAAGAGAAATGAGATAAGATAAAGGAAAGATACAGGGATCAAGTTAAATAAGCTAGTGATGCTGTGCATGGTATGGTCTACCAGTCGTCCGGCTTCCATGTGGTTGATCCCATGTACCCTCTCCAAATGGCAGATCTGGGAGTAAAACAAACAACAATGATATCTCAGGTGCTCTTATTAAAGACAAAGATGGAATTGGGGAAAATCATACTATCTAATCACATCACCAACAAACTCACACATACAGAACAGGAAGGACAAAGGGGTGTAGTGTCAAATTGTCACAGCTTCTCATCATTCAGACAGTTTTCTTAATCAGTTTCTACCCACTGTAACATGGTTTACTTGACAATATTCAACATCTTATTTTAAGTTTTTCCACTGACAGAATAGTTCTTGAACTATTTGCTAGCTATTTTGAGAAATTTTATTTGAACTACCAATTTTTTCGTTTTTGCACAAACAAAAATTTTAATTTAAATATAGTTTGTAAACAGCACATTACCAGTGCTTTTCTCTCTCTAGTTATTATTAGTATATTCACATTTTCACAATCACTGATGGTAATTAAGACAAAGGGGCTGGCAAAAGTAGCCACCATTTTTGAACTTCTGTCATCTGCTGGATTACATTGCATTAGTAATCCCATTACAAGGTATCACTGTTGCTGTTTGCACATGAATTATGAAATATTACACAGCTGAAAAGTATTTCAGTATTTTTACATGAAAAAAATTGAATGCACCATTAATTTGCTCCAAAATATTTCTAGAGAACCTTCAAAATTATGAAGAGACAGTAAAATTAAAATTCTATCTAGATTTGACTCTGTGTATAATTGAAAGTGACTAATAAGCGAGACAATACCATTTCTTCTTGCCTCAGTTAATGTCTGTGGTAAGTACAAGGTTGTGCCAATTATGTCATGCTATGTTCTATGCTTATAATATTTATGAAGACATTTGAAAATCAGGTAATGTTCTTCCAGTATCTTCAAGACATCCTGTGTGTCCACTCCCTGCATATTTCTAACCCAGACCCTTTACCTTTTAAATACAAAGCTGCAAATTCCCAGCTAGCAAATTTCCTCATGCCACATCCTACCTACCAAATTAGAAGCCTACCATAGTGTTAGACATCATTAGGGTTTGTTAGACTCTTTCTATTATGGGCATCACATTATTGTACTAATTTGAATATATAAAATATATTCCTCTCTACCTCAAATTAGAGTCAAAATTTGAATACATGGCTTTCCTATTCTATAATCTGTTTCCAATCCTACAGGACATTGCAAGTCTGCTATTCTGAGCCCCACATTGTTAATACTGTATAGTCTTCTCTTTGATTGAAAGTCTCTGCTTCATCTTACTGTTTAAATGCAAAGTTCATAGCTAAGGGACTGATTCAGTATTCACTTGTGATCTCTCCAGTGGAAGAGATGAATATCTCGTGTTGTTTGTACTTTTATTAATGAGTTTACTGAATAGTCAGCTTGCCAGGAGTTTAGGTATTGGAACTAAAGTTTTTCTTTCCAATTACTTAAACTTTGCCAGCTTTCTCTTTTCCTTTGGCAGATACTGGGGGTTTTGTTTTTCTATAAAACAGAAAAATACAACACAATTCAGTATTATGAAAGTTTCCATCTCAGTTCAATTTGAAGGCATTTCTTCCAATATGGCCAGTCAAACAGAGACATCTGGGTATTCACTCTTCTGGAACATAATCTCCTTTTTCATCTTTTGGGTTTCTACAGTGTGAGGCAACTGGAACATGAACAAGGAGGGATAATTCACTGCACACATCTAATAGTGTAGTTATAGTCTGTCCTTTGGAAACTATGTCCTGGCTTTTGGGGCCCTTTGTGTAGAAAGTACCTACTTGAGAGTTCTCAGAAGGCCTTCTTCATTTATGGATCTCAGATGTAGCTCCAGGAAGATCTCATTCTTGTCATCATTTTTTGTCATCCTCTTGATGGGGTCCTCTTATTAGCAACTAGCTCTTCTTGGTGAATTTCTCAAGGTATCACAAGCTTAGCTACTTCCCTGAGTTGCTTGGTTCAAGGACATACACATGCAGGTAGCCTAGGGCTGGGCCTGCTCTCTTTTCCACATCATTTTCCTTCCTATCAGACGGGGAGGAAGATGATCCAGGCTATTTTAGGTGCAGATTCAAGAGAGTTGGTGCTGAGTCTTCCTACATGCTTAAGAATACTTCTCTTGTTGGTTCATGCCCTTGGCTCAGAGGTGAGAGGCATACCCTCTAGAGAAGATGGAAAAACTTGAGCATGACTTTTATTTTCTCCCCACCCAGGATGCCTTGTTCTTTCCCCTCCACAGTCTTCTCTTAGATTTGGCTTGTAGGGAGAGTCAGGCACCATTTGGCATGAAAGTTGAGAGCACAAGAGCTGTTTTTTTTTCTGTCCTTTGGTAAGCTTTGTAGAAGGTGTCTTGATCCAGGTGCTATCCGTTGTCTATCATTTTAATCTTGATATTGGGAGTCTATAACTGCAAACTCTGGCAAAAGGAAAGCATGTACTCAATCACCTGCTATATGTATGAACTTTGCAGAGGGTTGTGTTATTGATTGGTGTAAAATTGAACATTTCTGATCTGTATAAAACCCTGCCAAGGAATGACAATGCAGGTAAACATGGGCCTG